AAGATATACTCCTAAGTGAAATAAATAAGTCACACATGTGTAAATACCAAATAGTTTCCCTGGTGTGAATATTCTGCAACATTGCATAAGATTCTAATAAGATTACTGACATTTAGAAATTTGAAGAAAGGCGCTAAAGGTGTAGGGAAGGTGTGATACGTAGGGGAAGAGCAAAAAGGGAAAAGAAAAAAATGTGAGAGAATGAAAAGATGAAAATAAAGTGTTTGTAGATGGGGAGGGGAGGAGGGGGTGAAGGGAGGGCAGAGGTAAGGGGAAAAAATGAGAATCAAGACTTGCCATGTAGAGGTACATGATCCCAACAATGAATGTAACTGTACCATATCCCTAAAATGTACCAATAAACTCAATAAAATTTAAAAAAAAAAATCCAAAATTTAAGTGCTATATAAATACAGAGAGTTTGGACAAAGACAGAATTATCCTTACACAGAGGATCAGGGGATCGCTTCTGGGCCTTTTGGTTAAGAATCAGGGAAGTCTGCATAAAAGAAGTCACACCTCAGACAGACTTGAGAGATGCTTAAAGGTTTCAACTAGAGGAACTCTCCTCATTGCAGATGCAAAGAAAGGCAAGTACAGGAAGTTCTTGGGAAATGGCAACAGTTCCTCGGACAGATGACAAAAGAGGAAACAGGAACCATATGTGGCACTTTGATGAAATCCCCATGGCCTTAAGTACCAAGCCAAAGAGTTGGCAATTAATTGATAAACAATGAGAATTTGCTGAAACATTCTCTGCAGTAAATGAAGATTACTAGTACTGCATTTTAGGAAGACCAATTTGGAAGTGGCTTTTAAGAGGGCAAATAGACTACAAGCAGTGAAAGAAAAATAGCCTGCAACTTCAATACCACAGTCAAGAGCTAAAGAGGGACTTGACGAGGGAAGTGGGAACAGAAGAGAGGGAGGAAACAGTGGGACAAGGATCAAATCCACCAAGGGGGCACCCTGACAAAACAAACTGTTAAAGCAGAGGGAAAACTGCACCAAGAAATATTAGAAAAGCCTTAAAATCGGTTTAATGTTCAGCCATAGATCTTCTGATGATTTTTTTTTAATCTTGAGGAGAAAGAATGAATTTTCATTTCTCTTCCATATATATAGAAATATATATTTATTTATGATTTTTCATATAATTACCCACTTGCAAGCATTTACATTGTTCTGTTTAAACAAAAATTGAATGATCAAGTGACCTTTAGTAGAAAACTACTCATGCTCCATCCTGTTGAGATTATATCTGAATTTCTAAAATTAATTTTACCGCTTTCTGTGTTTAACCATTAACTTCCTCTTCTGCCACAAGCCAATGGGCCAGTTTGCTGAGTTTATTTTTACTTATTTATTCTTTGGCTTTCGTTAGTTGATTTTTTTTCATCATTTTTGGATAGTAATTTGTAGCTTTGAATAAGTGTCAAAATGAGAGGAATGGGATATTAAACCCCACAACCTGCTTGCAGCTGGTATTGTAATATTTATTTCCTCTGCTTCTCTCATATCAGATTCACTCCTCGGTGGTTCTATCTTCCAAATATATTCAAAATCCAGCCATTCCATCTGTAACTTCCCCATTGCTATCCCCTGATGAAATCACCACCACTGTTCCCAGTGGATTTCTGAGCACCCACTGAGTCTTGTCTGCTTCTGTGCTTACTCCCTGCAGCCCAGGGTCTGTTCCACACATATGAGTGGTCCTAGTAAAGTAGATTTACATCAGTCCTCTGCTCAAATCTTCCAGAGGTTACCCAATAAATCAGAGCAGAGGATCAAAGTTCATAACCAGCCCACAGGCACCAGGTGGCCATCACTACCTCCTGACTTCACCTCCTACCTCTGTCTTCCTGGTTCCTGTGCTCCCAACACTCTGGCCTCCTTGCACCACTTTGCACCAAGAAGACCTTGACTTTGTTGCCTTTGCTCAGAAACTCCTTCCCCAGTCAGCCACCTGATTGACTTCTTCGATGTCTTTCAAGATTTTTGTTCAGATGTAGGCTCTCAGAGGGGGACAACCTAGCAACCCTATCAATCACCACACTCTCCATCCCTAGCATCCCAATCTCCTTAATCACCCCACAAGACTGTTATTGACATAAACAGGCAATGTACGGATGGTATTGGTTGTTCATTCAACTAGAAGTTCACTTCATGCAGAATGTGAACTATTCTCTACTTTATTGACTGATGTGGCTCAAGTATTAAGAAGGGATCATGGGCTGGGGATTTAGCTCAGGGGTTCGGTGGCCTGCCTCGCAAGCACAAGGACCCGAGTTCAATCCCCAGTTCCAAAAAAAAAAAAAAAAAAAAAAAAAAGGGAGGGATTACAATAAGTGTTAAATGAATAAATAACCAAACAAGCATGGATCAGGTTATCAAACAGTACTTTTCTAAAAATTAAACTCAGTATCTTAGTATGTAAAGATTTTTTAATGACATTTATAACCCCTAAATCACTTTGTAACTTAGAAAATTATCAGGTTTGAAACGTGAATGAACTTGGTTTGTGCATGTGTGAGTGTGTGTGTCTTTTCTGAATTTCAAGGAGTCCTGGGTTATTACTAATTATCTTCCAAAGTGAAATTTACAGACCCCTGTCTATTCTAAGCCATTTTAATAAGTCTCTCAAAATTCCCCATTTCTAATTATTTTAAGAATTAATGAACTTCCTTTACACTATCAAGCCTGAGAAGCCTTGTCAGGATGCAGGAACATGAAGGAGAACTCAACTAAGGGAAGATATTAAAATGTTCATTCTTCTCTTGTGGAATGTGGTTTAGCCCATTAGAAGCAGAAGTCCAAAGAGGTCAGGTGCTGAAATTTCACTGTTTACCTTTACAGTAATTAGAATGAAATGAACAATGTTAATTTTTTTCAAGACAAAACATTTTAGATGCTTATCTAGCATAATTATTTTATATTGTTGAATTCATCATCACAAATTAAAGTTCATGAGCCAAAAATTTTTTATCAAGACTAGAAAGACATTACATGTTGCCTTAGGCTTGTATATTTAATTTATTTCTATCCTATATTACACTAAGCCAAACAATAATTTGATCTGTGCACTGGATAAAGGTCACCAAGATTTTTTAAAATTTTTTCATCTATTTAAATAAAAAGCCCAATGTTATTTTAACTAAGTGCCTTGCATGTCTATTTTTCATAAACAAGAGAAACAAAAACAAAATCTGCCTGGAAAATATGTGAACACAAAGAACATATTCTGTTGCTAAGGAAAGAAATCTGACTATTCAACATTTATCTGACTATTTTCCAATATATTTCTTTAGAAATATTAGTCTTACGGTCTTGTCAAAAAATGATCAACCTAGAACTGCTTAAGAAAAAATGTTTAACTGATGCATCAGAAAATTCTGATGAGGGCCGGGGATTTAGCTCAGTGATTCTGCCTCCTGCTTTGCAAGTGCAAGGTCCTAATTTGAAATCTGGTACCAAAAAAAGAAAAAAGCAAAGAAAATTCTGATGAATTTTTTTAGTTTAGTGACCTAACTTACTGGTATCATAAGCATCCTTTATTTATTTTCAAATAAGCATCCTCTGAGCTTTGGGCCTATGGATGGATGGGCAAATATCATGGTACCATGGATACAGCATATTTCATAAAACTGACTGGAATTCTCACAACAGATACTACATCTACAGCATGTTTGGCCGTGAAAGTAACACCGACTTTCTCATGGCTTCAGGTAAGAAACAATCTTTAAATCAGAAAAAAAAAAAGTACTAACCACAATGGAATTGATAGATAAATTTGACACACTAAAATCAAGAACATCTATTTTTAAAAGAGAAACCAAGTTTCAAAATATAAAAAGTGAGATTTTTTCACTTTTAACTGACATATTTTGTTATATAATTACGTATTCTAATATACAGAATAATAAACTAATGAATTCCATAAATCAAAAAGAAAAAAGAAGAAAAGGAGGAGAAGGCAACAGCTGAAATGTACAAAAGTTTAACAGACAGTTCAAAAAGAGAAAAATCCAACTGTCTGATAAACATGAAAAGATATTTGGCCACGTTCGTAACCAGTAAAATGCAAACTAAGTGATGCTACTTCTCAAGATTGTTTGAAAATTAAATTATCATACATTAAAGCACCCACAGAAACCCTGGTACACAGTAGATATAAAACCCATAAATCTGGCTGAAGGAGTAACTCACTGGTAGAGCATGCATGGGCCCCTAGGTTCAGTTCCCTCGCTGTAAGTAAAAAAATGAATACCATAAATCTGCTTCTCCAATGATTTTTATCTGGCCTTTTCTAAGGGCCATCCATGCAAATGTGAAGCAGCTCTCCAAAGTCTTAATGTCCATTGATAACGAACTTATACTGGCTACTTCTAAGGCTTAGAATCTAATTTGGATTCTTGTGCAGGGAATTCGTGTACTGTAATTGTTCCACAAGCAATTTTAAGGCACTATCTTTATACCTTACTACCCATCTTTCTGATTCCACTTTCCTTCTCATGTTATTTTTGTATTCCTTTTAAATTACTTCTGCATTGTCATGCTACAGGCACCTAGGGAAGACACTTTAAATTATTTTGGAGGGTAAGCAGGGTACAAATAAACATTACAAAATAAGCATTTGCTAACATTGGCCCTTTGCAGGAGGATCACTGTGAGTTGGAGACCAACCTGGACTACATAGTGAGTTCCAGGTCAGTCTCGACTACATAGTGAGACCCTGTCTCAAAAACAACAACAATAATAATAATATTAAACATTGGCTCTTTGCATTTCCATGAATCCCTCTGAGTAGAATAATCTGTGGGTTATAACCAAATATACCAGGGGGTTGCTATGGAGAGGTTCAAAATCAGCATCCTGAGAATTATACTCACTGTCGGGCAGGTACCTTAAATTAGCCTCTTCTAAAACGTTCTACCTAGTCAGAAGGAGAGACACCCATAAGTGTGATCAATGACCAATAAACTACTCGTGTGTGTACATACCACAGGAGAAGAAGTCGCTGAAGAGTAAGGAGGGGGTGGTGTTTCCACAGCTACTTCAGTATCATCCTGTTCACTTTCACTGTAACATTCTGCAACAAAAATGAAAATGCTTAAGGCTTGAACGCTACTGTCATCTACCTATTCCATAATGTTTGGGCAGAGGTTTTTCTGGCTATTGCCATTTCAATCCAATTCAAAAAGAAGGAAATGAGTGAACTTTGTGGTGCAAAGGAGTTGCTTAAAAGGGAAAAACTAATGGCCCCTCCTATCTTTTGTCCTCAAAGAACACCTGATATGCAGGAGGAAAACCAATCCCAATCACAGCTCAGGAAAACAAAAGAATTCTTCAAAGGAAGTGTAGAGTCATATACTAAGGGAGCCTGAAATCAGTAGTAATTACAATTGATAAGACGAACCATAATGAGCTGAGTGAACTGAAACCAGCTGATAACTAAAGCATCAGTGGTACACAAATAGGGTGTACTAGGCTGAGGCATGTACAAGGAGATCCCTAATGACGAAGGCCACAAATGAAGCTGGAGCCATTTGAAGCTAGGGGCCATATCATGGCATGGCTTAAGTACAAGTAGAAGTGCTTCTGCATAGTTCTTCCCTCCCCAGTCAATATCCCAGGAGTACTTATTGTATAAAAAAGAGGGCCGAGAAGACTGTTAGAACCCCGCTTTCACAGTATTGTATGAGATTCATTTTTTTAAAGTCAAATTGCCACTTTTCCATTTCAAAATTTAAATTTTTATCATTTTTGTAATTAAAAAAAAAAAACCTAACTCCCTAGATCCAGTTCTTGAATGTTCTGTAGGTTGAGGAGTTTAAAATATACCAGCCTAGTACCCAGGAATCCAAAGCCTCCCTCTTCTTCACACAAAGGATTGAGCACATCATTAAGAAGAATTAGACTCCTGCAGCTTTTTAACCCTGAAAGCTACAGATTGAGCTAAAAATATGGCCCATGTCCCCATCTGCCCTTCAGGCTGTTAGGATAATCTTAGAGTACTTAGTCTCTCCACACACCTGGTGGAAATGTTAAACTATCAGAGAGGAAATAGTGGGATGAAAATTATCTGACTAGATCATGACAAATTCACATCTGTGAGTAAGAATTCAGTAAGTAAGGCAAGAAAACATTTGCTTTAGCAATTCCTTGAAATATCAGTGGAGCCAAGCTAGTGAAATGTGGGTGAAGTGTGAAATCATTCACAGCCAGCAAGGGAAGCTCTATTCAATGTGGGTAAGTCCGTGTGAATGTGCATCTCTCTACATTTTGTATCAGTTCAAATGCCAAACTATTTTCATCAGGACCAGGCTATACATAGAATTTGACATTGTTTTTCTAGGCCTATTTCTTTCTGTTCTAATATCCTTGCCAACTTTTGAGAAATTTAAAATAGAACATACCTTCATCCTTTGTAGTGGACTCCTGATGAATTACAGCCAATCCCAGTTTATTTAACCACCTAAGATTCAAGTAGAAAGTAAATGTTTGACCACAGCGATTGACTTTCCCTCCCCTTCCCTCCCCTATACTCTGAAGGAGAGTCTTATGACAAATATTATGATAAAATTAATTCCTAATTTCACTGTTAGTCCAAACATTATAGAAGCAGCATAAGCTTATGACACCAAAATCTACGGCCTTTGGTTTTACAGCACTGTCTTCACTCAAGATACACTTTATAACATAAGTGTGTCAATAAAGGTAGACAGCTAAATGACATAATCTAAGTGTATGAACAAATAAGTCTTCTGTACTTATTCATCTGAAATTTTTCACCACCATCATAACCATTTTATCACTGGATTTATGCATTAAAGCTGTGCCAGTTTGTTTCAGAAGAAAAATAAAGCCATACATTTCTAAACCACAAAGATATTTTGTCAATCAGTATATCTAGCTCGAACCTGACAGGTATTCCTAAACTGGAGAAATTTTTAATTCTTTGAAAAATTTTGTGTAAGTTTTATGAAAAATTGATAATGTTCACACTTCTGTTGATTCATTATTTTAATTGGATAATGAATTCTACTTATATATTAATCACAAAAAGAGAACTGGGAAAATCTTAAGAAAGTCAAACCTGGTTTACAAACTCAGACCTCTGTAGTTCCTCCACAAGACTAGTTAGAAACACAATTTTTTTTTTTTTTTTTGTACCGGGGGAGGGGATCAAACTCAGGTCCTTGCACTTGCAAGGCAGGCAGCGGCACCACTGAGCTAAATCTACTGCCCTAGAACACAAATTTTCTAAAGATAAAAAATAAAATATGTCTACCTCATATATTCCTGATAATATAATCTTATAATTAAGAAGCAGTGATGGCCCTGTACTTTTTTAAATACTCCTTCTTAGACGATATTGTGTATTTTTTAAATCTTTTTTCTTTCTTTCTGTTTTTAGAAAACAGAGCATTCAGTAGCAGCCTAAAGGGACAAGGACTTAACTCAGTAGTACTGCACCTGTCTTGCAAGTGCAAAGTCTCAAGTTTGATCCCTGGTACCAAAAAAAAAAAAAAAAAAAAAAAAAAAAAAGTGGCCTAAAGCAAACAATATGAACAAAACTGGAATTATACATTTATCAATTCACTTATATTTTTCATTTCTTCTACTCCTGCAGTGTCTCATGGACTTTTCACCAAGGGACAAAAATTACACATTCCCAAATCTGCAATTATCAGCTCTTTAGAAACCCTCACCCAATCTTCAACCAGCCATGATTTTTTTGTATTCACTATTTTTCAACAGGAACAATATAAAACATTTGACTTGTCAAAATAAACAAAATAGGAGTTTCTGCAAGAAGAAAGATGGGCATATTCTCCTATGAGAAGTTTTCATAACAAGCCCAAGTTCTGTAAAGGCCACTTGAGGCTGGGTAGTTACTAGGGCCCAGAACATGCCAGAAGAGCTCAACAATGTTTCTCAAGTCTCGAGAGAAAATCAGGCAAAGTAAAGGAACAAGAAATCATGGGGGGCGGGGGGATGCAATAGCTAAAATACATATGGGAAAATTTTCAGCTTCAGTAGTATTTTGGAAAAGTACCTATTTGACACAGGAAAGTATTTTTCACCACTAGACTGGAAAATATTGTTGATGTTCAGTACTTAAATGAACATTCTCTTCCATTGTTGAGCTAAACATGAAAATTGATGCAGCCAATTATGAGCAGGCAATTTGACACTATTCAAAATTTAGACATCCACAATGATTACAGTTACAAATATTTGCTCTACAAAAGCCCACCTTTATTTGCACAAATATAGAAAAATGGCAAGTGCAACAAGGCTTGTAATAGTAGAAAGAGTGGGTGTAGTGACACGTGCCTGTCATTCCTGCTACTTTGGATGCTAGATGAGGATCCAAGGTAAAGGCCAGCCTGAGAAATTTAGTGGGATCTTGTTTCAAAACAATTTTTAATATATGTAATTTTTAATATGTGTGTGTATATATGTATGTATATGATGTTGGGACTGTAGCACAATAGTAAAGCACTTGCCTACTGAGTACAAGGCCCTGGGTTCAATCCCAGCACTGGAAAAATAATTGAGACAATATAATTGTTGTGCTTTAAGAAAATGGGTAAACAATGATTTTGATATCACAGGAAAGCTAATAAAAAACACTAAAGATTAAAATAGCTTGTGATGGCCTAAAAAAAAATCCTAGGATTCTGTTGGCTGAAAGAAACAAATATAGATCAATATGCTTAACCTCTTTTAATGTATTTTGAAAATTATGTTTTTGTGTACATGCATGTATCGGTGGGCATAAAAAAGTTTTGGGAAAGATATATATCATAAAAGTGGTTAACCCTAAGGAAAGAAGTTTAATTGAAAGACAAAGGAGAGGGTATAAGGAATCTCTTACTTTTTTCTACTTCTATATCATTCAATTTTTACAAAAATATTTTATGTATCACCTAACTAAAAGAAATGTTTGAAAGTACATTTTTTAAAAATTGATCAGGAAAAACACAGTAAATTTCAAGGTTCACTTTTTAAATGCCATAATAACAATTTTTAGTTTATACTTGATTTTATAATGATAATAAACTGTCATCCTCAAAAAAGTAAAAATCTAGTAGCTAAGATGGCAAAAATTGGAAGAAAAAAACAAAGGCAAAGAAAATGTTTGCATTGAGGATGCCCAAAGCCAAAGACCTATCTAAAGCCCTGTCCAGAACAGGAAAATAGAGCAAAGTGAAAACGTATTGACAATAAATAAAAAGACTCCTCTTATATCTCATGCCTTCTCTTTTGCCACCATTAGTTACGATGTGTGATCAAAACATTCGGGGAATATTTAAATGTTTGAAAAATGTGTTACAGTAAAAGACACATTAAGTCCTCTTGAAGTATGGCTCCTTTTCCCTCACTCTGAACACATCTATCTCATCGTTCTTGCTGTTTTCGGAAAAAGTTCTCGAAGCCCTATTTCATGAGCTTCTCCAGTTGCAGTGGCAGAGTTAGGGAAGGGGGCAGAGGGGCTGGTCCTCTCCAGGTGGCACACTTTGGGGCGGCACCTTTGGCCAAAAGGAAAATTAGATCGTAACAATTTATTCCGCTCGGATATGTCTGAGGGCAGTAAACTGAAAGGCCACCCAAGTCACACAAACCCTAACTGCAGCATTACTGAGTCGCTTCCATGTCCTGAAGCAACTGAAAGCATTTGCATTCTGGTCATTCTGATTTTGCAAAAGACCCCAATCAGATAAATAGGATGGTTGGGGCCACTGTATCGCTTTACAGCCTGCCTTGCCAAACTGGACGGTACTTGGCAACATCACTAAGTGTATTTTGATCACAACTTGTAAAGACAGACAGAAAGAGGACTTTCAGAACTTATTCCGCAGGTGGCAAGAATGATGGGTGTTCGAAGCAAGGTGAAGTATTTTGAGGAGAGTTGATGATGCGATGTGTCCCTTCACAAATTTTTAAAATTTAAACATTTATAATAGTTTGTGATCATACTTTATATTTACAGTGACAAACCAGCCAGGGTTTCTTTTTTAACCCTAATCCACATTTTTTTTTCTAGAACTCACTGGCTTTGGGCACCTACTTTGCTAAGAACTTTTCTTAAATCTCATGGCAGTAAAACACTTTTATCTGTGGCTAAATACACGGATGCACAAAACAATTTATATTTACATAAGAGAATACGACAGATGTTTCCTGGGAGTTTGTTGTATATTAGCTTAATGGAAATGTGTGTGTTGGAGGAGCACAAGTGTTAGGAAATAGATGTACAAAACAAGAGCATCTTCCCACAAACACCATCTGAAAAAGGCAGCAGCCACAGTCTTTGCTTAGAAACCAACTTTCATTACCCTTAATTATTTACCCTGTACTGGTAAATTGAGGGTCGCTGCAGAACATACGAAGTTTCTATTAAACTTAATTACTTTTCTTTCATCATCCCTGAGAGAAATGTCACATCCAGAAACACAGTTACCCAAGGAGGTGAACATGTAAAACAGAACCCATCTATCCCATGCCACCTGCTCCAATGCCATCTCCTCCCTCCCTCCCTCCTTTCAACCCCACTAAGTCATCTGGAGATACAGCGTTTACTGGCTTATACAAGCTGCATCAAAAAGGATGGGAGATCTTTCAGATGTTACTGAAGTCTTAATCAATATAACCTGCATGTTCTTGCTTAACAAAGGAGATGTTAACTTGGTGGCACAGAGAGATTCTGCATGTTTTGCTATTAGAGAAATCATCTTCAGAATAATAAAATCCAATTATGATATTTTAAATATACGAAACTGTGACAGACTCACAGATAGACAAAATGAGCCATGTACCCCAAAATGGCTGGATGAACTGTCAAGGATAAATGTTACTGGTGAGATTCAAAAGCATATTAAGAGACCTTAAGTTCAAATTTCAGTTGACATCTTGTTTATAAATTGGAAAGAGAAACTCAAAATTTCAAGTAAAATTAACAACACTTAGCAGAATACACGGGCGATGAGATCTTGATCCTGATAGTAACTGTGTTAGGCTTTGATTTGGGAGCCAACAAAACACAGTACAAGCTAATACTTAGGCAATACGGCTTGCCATTCAACAGGTATCTGCAAATAGAGAACATAAAAACGGAAGATAAATAGACCAGAAAAGTGACCAAAACCTAGGGAGGTGATAGGTCAGAGAAGAAAGGAGCTAAATAACACTTGAATATGATTTACAGAGCAAATTGGTCTGAAATATAATAGATTCACATAACTAAGTAAGGATCAAACTTTCTATTGTTTGAAAAATGTATTTTACCATATAGGAGGAGAAATTCACTAGGTAAAAAAACACTTAGGAGCAACTGTTTCTCTGAGGAGCTCAGTCATACTCCACGCTGGGGATAAGAGAACTACAGTACATACTTTGAAAGAATTAGCTCAGGATGGGTGGGAATGGCAGTGACTAGGGAAAAGCTAGAGAAACAGGGTACTGTTAGAGAAGAGCAAACAGGGACAGCAGGAGGCTACGAGGCAGGCAGTAGCAGGCAGCACTTTCTCCCTGCCTGCACACAACAGAGCCATTAGGACATCACTGGTAGCTCAGATGCCAGCTGACATCACCATCACCCCACAACCTCCCACACCACTTACAGGACAAGGGTGGGAAAACCAACAGGATTGGGTTCACAATGCAAATAGAAAGAAGTAAGGAGTGCTTGCTTCGGCAGCACATATACTAAGATCGGAATGATACAGAGATTAGCATGGCCCCTGTGCAAGGATGACATGCAAATTCATGAAGTGTTCTGTATTTTGGAAAGAAAGAAAGAGCAGTAAGGAGCTCTGACTGTGAAGTTTTAAAAACTTTTCTCCTTTTATGTATCTATTCTTGTTTTATCTCAGGTGATGGCAAAATGCAAGCAGAAAAAAAGTTAAAATCAGAAAACATGCAGAAACCCTCCAATACTTCATATAAATAATTCGAAGACTTGTCAGTTGTCAAATCCTCTCCAGCTTCCATGTGTCTACCCCAGGGTTTCTGAACTGTTTGGGGAGTTTTGACTTCATCAGAAGAGAGGTGGTAGGAGGTGAGTGTTGGGATCAGGTGAGAATGCTTTTACCTAGCAGAGCGGGTGTTGTTCCTGCAGGGATGCCCTGTCAGAGGTGTGTGTGTGTGTGTGTGTGTGTGTGTGTGTGTGTGTGTGTGTATGTCTTCCGTCTGCCTGTCTGTCTGTCCATCTTTCTGTCTCTGTATATACATGTAATGAAAACTTGTATATTCTTTGTGGGGTGTGTGTGTGTGTGTGTGTGTTTGTGTGTGCTTACTGCTGTGACTCACTATCTGTTACAGTGGGGCACACTGTGGGTATCCCATAACCATATTTGAATTGGTTATGTGAAAGTAATAAAAGACAATGTAAATTCTGAAAGTAATTCTTAAATTAAATGACATCCTCTCTGGATGCTTCATCAGCACCTCAACTCCAGCCTCATTCAAACAGTAGCCAATGTATGTAACCTAATCTAAACCAGTAAGGAAGGAGGAGACGTATAATATACTTATTTAAAGATAGAAAAAAATTCAGTTAGATATGTAATTTTGTTTTTTGTATCAAAGATTGAACTCAGGTCCTTGTGCTTGCAAGGCAGGCGGCAGAACCACTGAGCTAAATCCTCAGCCTTAGATATGTAAAATTTTAAATTAGATCTGAGAGAGAACATTTTACAAAATGGTCAGTGATACATGAATAAGTGATAAATACATGAATCAACATGATAATTACACACCACATATAAACAAAGATTTTTCACATAAAAAGCTGTGAGATCAATTACATAATACTTTCAAGATTTTTTTTCCTTGTGATGTCAATACTTGTTTTAACATCTTCTTATATTGATTTCTTATTTATTTATTTATTTATTTATTTATTTATTTATGGTATTAGGGATAGAACTCAGGACCTTGTGCTTGCAAGGCACGCAGCAGAACCACTGAGCTAAATCCCCAGCACTTGTATACTGATTTCTGTCTAGTCCTTTCTCAGCTTAGTGGTTCCTTCAGAACAATTTCATGACTTCTTCTTAAGTAATCATTTTGATATTAATGGTTCTCTAAAAATGTTTCCAAATACTAGAGAAGAAACAAAAGACTTCGTAATTGCTAAATATATTAATCTTTAAAGTAACAGAAATAAGTTAAACAATAATTGATATAAACATAGGTTTAAAATTCCAGTGCCCAACCAAGGTAAGTTGTCCTTGTAAGAATGGTATTTTCTCTACTTACACATTCATTTCCTGCAGATTCTCAGCTGCAAAATAAAACATCTTGATCTGTGGATGATTGATCTTAAATGCACTGGGAGAAGGAGAAACACAAGCACATAAGAATTAGTGTTTATAATCATCCATGGGTCTGAAAAGCAATCAGTCAAATACAAGTCATTAAAGTATTTTCTTTGTATATTTACCAAAAAAATGTTGCATAAACACCTATTGCCCAGTTCTTATTTCAAACAGCACTCTGCAAGTCAATTTATCATATTAAGACTGAGACTTAACTAGTTCATAGTTTCCATTCAAAATACATGGGCATATCTATTTCTTTTCACTGACTAACTGCTTTACTCTAAAGACATAATAAGTTAAATTTAAGAGTTGTAGAGGTGTCAATTCCAAATATTCATATCAAAGCAAAGTTTTTATTCAAATTCAATGAATTGTACACCAGAATTTTATTTATTTAAAAAATTAAGTCTTTAACAGTAACAAATACCAAACTCCTTCCACTTTACCATTTAGACTGTAAGTCCTAGAGGACAATTTAGTTACATTAGCATTCACAAGCCACAAGAATCAGCACAATTCATGCATCATGGTATGCATGGTGCTATCTCAGAGTGGCAAAGAACTAAAGCAAAGTCAGTTTATTAACTGTCTTACATGAAAACAGTCATTTGCTGCAACTAAAAATATAGGTCAGTACAGAAATACCTCTTTTCAATAAGACTGGAAAAGATACCAAAAGTAGGAGAATTTTTAAAATGTCAAAGAGGATATAAATACAAGATAAGAGCAGGATGCTGTCGTGGAAGGGCCCTTGGCTGGGAGTCTGGACCCAGAGTGCAGAGCCTGAACTCCCTGAGCTCTGGACTGGTAACACTCTCTTTGGGCTATTGTGCTTCCTTCTCTCTAGAGCAAGGACCACAAGCTGGAGAGTGCTTTTCTCCTGCCAATTTTCAAATCTTTGTACATCAGAGTACAATTTCAAGCTTAAAACATCTCAGAGAATGCAATGTCAAGGGTGCTCCTGACAATGCCATGAGCTAGGAGAAACTGGCTGCACTGTTACCTACAGCTCTGGTGAACCCTGCTTAACTGTTGGTTCTCTTTGCAAGGTCCAAACTTTGACATCTATCTGACCACCCTGCCGTCCCTGAATAGGAATGTGTTTTTCACTCTATCATGGGCACAGTTAATAGCATCCCATTCCAGGTGTTCAAGAAGGCTTTAAATCCATCTGTTCCATCAAATGAAATACCAGAAAATGAGAGGTTGAATATTTCTATTAGTACTGAATTGCCAACTTTTGTGTGTGTGTGTGTGTGTGGTACCAGGGATTGAACTCAGGTCCTTGCGCTTGCGAGGCAGGCCACCAAACCACTGAGCCTCAGCCCCATGAATTGCCAACTTTTAATGTTTACAATTCCGAGACATTTGAGCACTACCTGCACTCACTTAAACATCACCACATCACTTGATGATTAGAAAGGGACATTACCCTGCCTCATTTTTGTGGAGGTTAAGAAATGACTTACTGCTTTTTCTTGCATTCTGATGCTCTTTCTACAGTGAAGTCAGACAGGTTGACAAAGCCATCTGCTTTCTCTGCCTGAAACAAATACATACCACAAATAGAAATGAATACATCAATCCTAGGGCCTTATTGAGAATATCTAAAGGCAAAAGATATGGTGTAAATGAAAAAAGGTAGAATCAATAGATACTTCCTTGAATCGGGACTAACCATGGACTTATCCTAGATATAAAATTTATGATAGAAATTAATACTCTCCTGATAAGTTACCCAGAATCTTTTCATGAGAAGTGACATGGCACAGCTTAGGGATGGTCAGCTCTGGCAGGCACAGGCCCCTGACCCCTTCCTGTTTGCAAGGAGCCCACAAAGCCAACCCACTTGAGACCTACTTCCTGCTGAGCTCATAGCCATCCTCAGCAACGTTCTCATCCTACTACCACAAACACATAAGATGAAACCCCATTAGCAACCTTAATATGGTGGACAGAGCCCTGACTCTAATGTTAGCAATTCTATACTCCTATCATGGACCTACCTCCTGCTAATTGCTATGACTTAAATGAGTCTAGATAAATAAAACACTGAAGAAACACCCAACAAACATCATTTCCTCTCCTGAGTCTGCAGGTAGACTGGGAGATTCCACCACAGATCCACGTCCCACAAAAGAATCTTAATTAATAAAATCAATTTCTATAAAGACTTCACAAGAAAATGAGAGTTATGAGAACCTAGCATGAATGTTGTTTTAAATCATCAAATATTTCTCTGGAAATGTAATCATTGTCTCCCCCTCTATCAATTTTTAAGGTATGTTTTATGAATAAAGTTTAACTGAGCCACAGTGAAGCTGGATTATTTGTCATAATTGGAACCCAAATTTCCTTTCACTGTCCCTGGTGTCTATGAGTACAGAAATAACTCCAAACATTAAGCATAGATGAGCCAATAGTTGTTGGGAGATTAGTTAAAATTGTTTTTGAAAACACAATCTTAATTTTTCAAGTCATCTAGCTATGTTTAATGTCATAGGTGCTCTTGTACTAATTCATCATTCTGTCTCCTTGTCTTATTGCCAACTAGAGGCTTTTACTACAGTCTTCAAAAAAAATTGAGAGCCAGGGATTTAGCTCAGCGGTTTGGTGGCCTGCCTTGCAAGCGCAAGGACCCGAGTTCAATCCCCAGTACAAAAACAAAACAAAACAAAAAAACTGAACTGTGAAACATTCAACATGTTTCTATCCTCCATCTCCTACGTGACTTAAATCATCCAACTCTTTACCCACACTGGCTCCCTCTCATAATATTCAAAACTTCATCCTAGACAATTCTCCTACAGAAATGTATACAATACTGATTAAATATATGTATACGTTCAAATCTATATAGGTGTTCACATACAGTCAGATATATTTCATACATATGTGCAATGTATCTATTGATAGGCTGCTTAATTAGCACATGGTGTTTTCTCCTTGAAAGAGAATAAAGAGTATTTAAAGACTATAAAATGTATGAGCCAACTTTTTATATGGCCTGCAGTACTTCCTGTGTGCGCTCAGTGTCAGACAAAAGCATATGTTCTAAAAGCCATTAAGTTACATCAGTTCCATTTCTAGAGCTATACTCAGAGGATTCAAAAATGCACTTAAATACATGTAAATACATGGTCACCGAAGCACTATTCACAATACCCAAAAGAATAAAAAGCCAAAAAGCCCTATAAATTGTCATGTGTCCACACAATGGAAGATTATTTACGCATATAAAAGGATGAAGTATTAGTACATGCTTCATGGATGAGCCTTAAAAACATCCTGTTACATGAAACAAATCACACACAAAAGGTCACATATTGTATAACTCCAGCATATAAAATCCAAGAAGATAGAACACAGTTTGGTACTGGGGAGTGATGCATAGGAAACAACTACTTAGTGCTACCTTTTGGTGTGATGAAAACGTTTTGGAACTAGAGAAAAGAGATGGTTGTACAACATTACAAATATCCTCAAACTGCCACTGAGCTGCTCACTTTAGTTAATTTTATGTTACATCATTTCTTTCTTAAAACCATCAGTTATACTAAAGTATTTTATTTAAAATGCCCATAATTGACACAGAAAGAAAAAAAATGGTTTATACTCACCATTTAAATCTCTACTTCCAGCACCATTAACCCCAATGACTTCCACATTGCTAACTCCTTTTTTTTTCAGTCATCACTTGATTGAATTCTAGTAACTGATGTTATCGCTACTTTCTCCCTCTTGAAATGTCTTCTTATCTTAGATTTGCTGGCAGCACATCACCGCTGCCCCCCTCTTCCTCTGAAATCTCCTTCTCTTTCGTGGGGTCTTCTCCACCTGTACGTTTCTTAAATCAGAGTTCTGCCCACAGACCTAGGACTCTTCTCATCTCAGTGCTCTCAACGGATGGTCTGTACACTGTGTGGTTTAATGTATTATTTTCCACACATATCCAAAATCTATTCCTCAAGCTGCAGTTCCAGTCTAGAGCTCCTGCCCAGATCTATACTGTCTAGTGCACTTGCTCTTACAGAGATTCCATAGGTTCCCCAAGAGTGACAAATAAAAACCCAAATCCATCTTGTTGCTCCGTAGCCTACACCTGCTGCTGCTCCTCTTTCTCCTGTTTTCTGCTACAAAGAACAATTCGACCTTCTATGCAGATACCAAAGAAAACAATCTGAGGCCCATCCCACCTATAGTTTCATAGATCTCTTTTTTTTTTTTTTTTTTTTTTTTTTACCGGC